GTGTTTTGTTAATGACGATGATTGATATCTTGATCGATTCGCGTTGATAAGAGGAGTAACAAGATATATAATGTTGAGGTGTTGAATGACGTTGTCAGGAGTTGATAGATGAACCTTCATCTGTTGTTGTTGTAAATCTGGATGTCATGAAGTRGATGATGTTGATGTATCAGCTTCAATGTTATTGTTTAATCAAATGATCCACTGYCTGTATGTATTTGTACTAATGTTATATGTATCATAGTTGTTAATGACTTGTCTATTCAGTCATTGTCACAGTGATTCAAACAACTGTGAAATTTTGATTAAAATTAATTATTGTTTATTAATATTTATTTGTTTTTCCAATAAGTTGTTTAGGCAAGTGTAAAGAATGATATAATATGTTAAATGATTATGGTAGGTATATCTGATAGTCGTATTGTTAGTGGGATATTTGTATCTATGAGTTTTAACTGTTTGAAAATAGTATATGTGTTCGAACTTCCATCCCATACAAACTTTCTCTTGAAGAAAAATAACTTTATAAAATTGAAAATATTATTTTTAAATATTAGAATTGATGTTTAGACTATTCTATTCAATATAATAGCCCTTATTGGATATTTGTTAATGGACTCGCCTCAAACTATTTAGACTATTTTGTTAAATCTATTATGATCAAACTAAAACAGATTAAATTAGGAAGATTATTTTAACTTACAACATGGTGTACCTAGCTTACTCCAATCGATGGTATAGTCTCATAGTTTAATATGAATTGTGATTCAATTTGGCAATTGTTTTTAGAATTTGTCCAGAGTTAACAAGAAAACTTGTATAACATTCAAAACAATACTGAGATAAGTTATTTCATGTACCTTGAGTACGCTATTGAATTCAATTTCATCACTTTCAAATCTTCGTAAAATCTCCGTGAATATGCACTTTTGATCAAATATCAATTTTAATAAAATAACTCGTATTAAATTTAAAATATTACTCTGATATATTATTTGGTGTAACTAGTTTACGCTATTGAAAGGGATAGTCCCAAAGATTATTTTTAATAGTCTACAACACAAATTTAACAACGGATCT